CGCGACTGGGGCAGAGGGGTCGCGGCCCGGGTCCGTGCGAAGGCAGTCGTGGTGGCGGCGACGCCATGGCCGCGGAGCCGCAGTGGCGCAGCGAGCCGACGATGAAGCGTGCCGCGTGCGGGAGTGCTTGGCTTAACCGGCGGTGGCACTCGTTCAGCTCGGTGAAGGTCGGAGCAGCAGGAACGCGACGGCGGCCGTGGCGGCTTGCGAGCACCGAGCAACCATGGCGATGGCCATGGCGAGCTTGGCTGGGGCGCGAGAGGCGGCGGGCGCGGCAAGCTTGGCTAGGGTGCACGGGGGAAGCGCGCTGCAGCCTGCTCGCGCGCTGTCGTGCTGTAGCCTGTTCGGGCGCCGCCGCTGCAACTTGCTCGAGCGCTGCCGCCGCCGTTGCCTCCTTCACACGCGTAGGACGGGAGGAAAGAGAGGGGCCAGCGTGGCATGGTCAACGCCAGCATGGCGTGGTTAAAACCGTTGCACGTTGGACAAAACAGCTTCACTTGCACCGAGGTGCTGCAAATGAACGGTTTTGACAGTTAGGGTACCAGCATTAGACGGTTTTGTAGTTGACGGTCAAAATTAGACGAACCCAATAGTTGAGGGGCCAAAAGTGCACTTCATCCTATTTATTATGGCATGAAGAAATAAAGTGAGTCCCAGAAGTCACCACAAAATATGAACTTAAGGAGATCCATGGAGAAATGGCCCTCAACACCATCGTCGTTACCACACTGTCGTTGCAAACTCAAGTCTTTGGGAAAGAACATCTGCAAAAGCAGTAGGCATGGTACGTCACTACCACACTGAAGATGGTTGTATTACTACACAAATGGATTACATTATTACAATAAAGATCATCCGCATAGATAAAGACAAACAAAACTCTCCAAGTGAGGCCGAGAGGGCGCTGAATAACCCGTTGATATGTCATCCCATTCTTGGGTCACAAAATTTCCAGCCCAGTAGCCAATCAATAAAGATCAATCAGAATTTCAGCCTACGTGTAAACTCAGCCATGCAATGGGAAGCCCGGCAGCTGATGTTAACCCACGGAGGCGTGTCTCCATGGGCCGAACGATTGGGTGGCCGTGTAACAAGTGGGCCGAAGAGATGACTGGCCACTCGCCCTTTAAGTGCTGGGCCAAGGTCCTGCCCAGCTGCACCAAACCGCAGGCCGGAGTCAGCAACGCCCAGATGCTGGATGGTAGCCCTTTATTGCCTTATGCAAAATGTCAACTTTGTCTTTCTCAACTATCGCGAAAGTCAGCTTTTCCTCCTTGAACTCTAAAGCCAGAAATAAATCCTCCCTCATCTCTCAAAAACGATCATTTGACCTACTTGGCTGTTTCTCTGGGTGGTTTTTCTTTTTTCATTTATGTTTATTTCGGCTAAATCTGTAAAATTTCATAATAAATCGCCAACAAATCATAAAATGGAAAATCTGATTGTGTTGGACTCTGCATGAGTAGATCTACACAGTGAACATATCATATGGTATGCTTTAAAAAAAGTTTTTACTATAACTTTAGATCTGTATTTTCTATAATTAATTTATGGCTGCAGTTTCTCTAGTCCAATTATGTTGAAACTTTTATCGTGGATTAATCATTGCATGCTTGAGTTGTAGAAAAATTTCATGCTCATTGGATCATATATGACTGACTTATAGATTTATATAGGTTTATCTAGATAAAACTATAACTCAATCATACACGATCCAATGAGCATGAAATTTTTGCTATATCTCAAGCATTCAATGGTTGTCCCATCGTAAAGATTTCACCATAATTGGACAATACAAACTGCAGCTATGGATTAATTACAAAAAAGTTTAGATCTAGAGCTACAGCAAAAAAAAACAGTGTACTAAAATATAAATATATCATATCCTATGTTTACTGTGTAGATCTACTCATGGACTCTAACAAAAATTTTATGCTCATTGGATCATGTATGACTGAGTTATATATTTAATTTCATTTAAAAACTATTTAACAAACATAAACCTAGATAAATCTATAACTCAATCATTCGTGATCCAATGATGGGCATGGAATTTTTTTCTACAGCTCAAGCATGTAATGATTAGCTTACCATAAAAATTTCACCACAATTGGACTAGAGAAACCGCAGCTATGAATCAATTACAAAAAACATTGATCTAAAGATACAACAAAAATGGACCTTTTCCTTTCTTTATTGGCCCTGCTGGCCCGTAAAATTGGAGAATTACATTGTCGGTAGCCAAGGCCCAAGAGGTATTAATTACAATCTCAACACTAGGATTACATTTCCCCTAATAAGAAAAATTGAACACCAAATATTCAACACACTTCATAGTCTTTTGCGGCACAGGTTTGCCTCGTCCTTGCAGTCACTGAGGCCTCTATATCCACAAAGGATATACACAGCCAAAATCACGCCATTGCATAAGGGGGTAGGACGCCTAGGGGCGTGATTAGTTGCCCAGATTTGACCTGGCATGGCTCAGCATGGCTCATATGATAAACAAAAAACACTTGCCTGTTTCTATGCGGCCTGGTTGGCTCTGTGCAAGGAGCGCACTCAGGCAATGCAGAGCAGAGGGGACGCCAATCACTAGGAGAGAAACGATCTTTGAACCACTTTGAAATTTGACTTTAGTTCCGGTATTTTTCGCGCCCGGGGTTAGAGAAACATTTATTGGCCCTGCTGGCCCGTAAAATTGGAGAATTACATTGTCGGTAGCCAAGGCCCAAGAGGTATTAATTACAATCTCAACACTAGGATTACATTTCCCCTAATAAGAAAAATTGAACACCAAATATTCAACACACTTCATAGTCTTTTGCGGCACAGGTTTGCCTCGTCCTTGCAGTCACTGAGGCCTTGGCTTATCGTCATCGCTTGCTTTTGGGGTGGTAGTTCACCAATATATATAAACAGTAAAACGAGTGATATAATTTTGGATAGTAGGGTAGCACAATTAGTGGATAGTATATGATTTCTAAAAAGTACCGTTCATTGATTAGTTAGGTATATTTCTAGAAAGGCTGCTACTACAAGCCATATGATTTATGCACATAATTAAGTGCCAAATCATATGTGTACGGTGTGAGATGCTGTGTTTATTCATAAACGAAGAAAAGCTTTTCAAGTGACAGCGCGCTGACAGGGTTCTGACACCTGAAAAAAATAATAGAATTACACTTGGCATCTGTGACCGTGTGCAGCCATTTTACGGCCTGTTCGGCTTGCATGAAAAACGACTGGTGCTGCTGATGCTGATGCTAATTTTTTGTGAGAGAAAAACACTGTTATTTTACTGAAACGGTACGACTGAAAAGTTCAAACGAACAGGGCCTTAGCTGGTGGGGATCCTGCTGCATCCAGCCAAATCCAACCAAAACAAACAAAAAGGAACGATGCTAGCTTGGATGCAACCTAACAAGAAACTTCAAACGGTAGCGACGCTATAGCAGGCGTGTGCTTTGCCGAGTGCAATTGCACTCGGCAAAGAATACTTTGCACTCGACAAAGTCTTTGCCGAGTGCTGCACTCGGCAAAGAACTGTCGGCATATCCCTTCACGACAAAGGCTTCTTTGCCGAGTGCCGCATGTCGGGCACTCGGCAAAGTCTTTGTCGAGAGCACTCGGCAAAGATTTACACTCGGCAAAATGAAAATGCGAAAAAAATTCAAAATTAATAGCAAAAATTTTCAAAATTTTTTTTTCGGGGGAGGCCGCCACCAGCCAGCGCCCGCCCGTCTCCATCGAAGTCGGTACATTTTTTGCGCTAAATTCGCGGCTAACGTGGCCGGCAGGATTGGAACTCACGACCTCTCCCTCGCGTGTCTGCTACTCTACCACTGCACTAGACTATCACTTGTGTCTACATTCTGTTATCTATCCACATATATTATACTAAATCGAGAGTAAATTGCTTGTTTGAGGCCCTAAACGTATTAAAATCAAAAAATGGTCAACTATAATGTTTCATAACTTTTCGAGATCTACAATTTTCATTTAGGAAGTTTTTCCATCCGAGGTCGTTTGAAAAATTCGAATTTCAAATTTGAGAGATTCAAACGTAGTTTTGCATGATAAGATGATTTCAAATCAAAAAGTTGTCAACTACATAGTTTCATAACTTTTGGAGATCTACAATTTTCATTTAGGAAGTTTTTCCATCCAAGGTCTTTTGAAAAATTCAAATTTTAAAATTTTCAAATTCAAACGTCGTTTTTGCATGACAAGATGATTTCAAATCAAAATGTTGCCGACTACAAAATTTCATAACTTCTTAAGATCTACAAAGTTTATTTTGGTCATTTGTTAATCCGACATAGTGGTAGTAACATTGTTTACAAATCTTATATATCTCTTTTCTACTTTCATGAAACTAATATGAGAGATGTAGATTTTATGAACAACGTTATTGTCGCTTTGTCAAATGAAGAAATGACCGAAATAAACTTTGTAGATCTTGAGAAGTTATACAACTTTGTAGTTGAAAAGTTTTTCATTTGAATTCATTTAGGGCCTCAAAAATTACTTTGAAAAACTGATTTGCCGAGGCAAAAAAATGCACACGGCAAAATGCCTCTTTGCCGAGTGCCAAAACAAAGGCACTCGGCAAAATACATCTTTGCCGAGTGTCAGAAAAAAGGCACTCGGCAAAGACGCATTTTGCCATGTGCCGAAAAATAGCACTCGGCAAAATACATCTTTGCCGAGTGCCACTCGGCAAAGACGCATTTTGTCGAGTGTTTTTTTGCCGAGTGTATTTTATTTGGCACTCGGCAAAGACCGTCTTTGCCGAGTGTCCGATAAAATACACTCGGCAAAGCCTCCGGCACTCGGCAAAGTGCCGGTTTCCGGTAGTGCGATTACAACAAGGACTTGTGTATAGTGCCAAATGCCTTGAACAAGTAAGCCTTCATAACAACAAAAAGGAAGGTAGTACCATCCACAGTATAAATCTTGGAAGAGCCGGACATAAGCTCACACTAGTTTGCAAAGAAATGGCGGCCTTCTCAGAGAGAGCCCTTGCTGCTGTATCCCTGGTCCTTCGAGTTCTCAGGCTCCTCCTCCTCATAGCTTCTCTTATCATTATGGTGACCAACAAAATTTATTTTGGACCATTTAGCGCCGTAGAGGACCCACCAAATTTCACCTTTCGGGAAAGTTTAGCATACAGGTGAGAATTACGAAGGACCTCTCCTCATCTGTCAATTTCTTTTTCTGTTGTAAAATTTGGTCGATTAGTTGTTCAATTTTCAGTTTGTGTGTATTCTTTAGTTATTTTTTTTCAGGTATGTTGTATCTGCAGCCGTCATCGGATGTGCTTACACTTTGCTGGTGCTTCCATTCGACGTCATCCCCAGGGAAGGAAATTTGGGCGCGGCGGTGCTACTGTTCTTCTCATTTTCACTGATGTGGTAAGTATCTTACTAGTGCATTTTTTTAGATAATGAATTTTATTAATCCAGCCTCTATATCCACAAAGGATATACACAGCCAAAATCACGCCATTGCATAAGGGGGTAGGACGCCTAGGGGCGTGATTAGTTGCCCAGATTTGACCTGGCATGGCTCAGCATGGCTCATATGATAAACAAAAAACACTTGCCTGTTTCTATGCGGCCTGGTTGGCTCTGTGCAAGGAGCGCACTCAGGCAATGCAGAGCAGAGGGGACGCCAATCACTAGGAGAGAAACGATCTTTGAACCACTTTGAAATTTGACTTTAGTTCCGGTATTTTTCGCGCCCGGGGCTAGAGAAACATTTAGTACCGGTTGGTAGCTACAACAGGGACTAAAGGTCCCTGCCCAACGGCTACTGCGGTAGGCTTTTGCTGCAGAGGACCTTTAGTCTCGGTTGGAGCTATCAACCGGGACTAAAGGTTAACTTTTACTCCCGGTTGGTCCCTCCAACAGGGAGTAAAAGTCTACTCCCGGCTGGAGGCTCCGTCCGGGACTAGAAAGAGATCTTTAGTCCCGGTTTCTGTCTTCAACCGGGACTAAAGGTCCCCTCCTATATAACCATTCTTCCTCCACAAGCCTGAGCCACTTCGAGCTCAGTGTTCTTGCTTCATATCGCCGGCCTCTCTTCTTCCTCATCGCCGGTAATCACAATATTTCTTCGATTCTTCCATTGATTCTTTGGTTCTAAAGGTTACCAACTTTATATTCTCATGTTTCATTAGTAACGTATCTCATTTTGTGGACTAGATATATGTGTTTTTTATGGTGAATTTTTTTTTATTTATAAGCCATTTAAGCTCAAAATCACTTTAAAGTTTGCATATTTGGAAGAAGGAAGGTTAAAGTAGTTATTCAAAACTAGTATTCAGCTTTCATTTCTAGCATGCATAGCACACTTCATGGTTTAGAGATATAGAGAATTTTAGAGTTTTTTTAATTTTATTTGTTTATAAAATAAGAAATTTATATTATATTAAAAATGAGTATAGAGAATAGATGGCAACTGCTTCCGGGTCCTCGGCCTCTCATCGGGTTCCAAAGCGACTGAGGCCGGACCTCTCTCTTATTGCATGCGGCAAGTGTGAGGAGAAGATTGTGATGGAGTACCGGGTGAGGAAGGAGTGTCCCAACAAGGGCCGTATATTCTACAAGTGTCCGGATCGCAATGTGAGTTATTTTGTCACATTTGATGATTATGGTTAATTTATACTTATTTTCATGATGATTGTGATTAAAGTTCTAATTTTTTGTTTTAATTTCAGTGGGATGACACTGTATGTTCAGGCTGGTATTGGGATGAAGAGTATGTTGAACACGTGCAAAACTCTCTTGCATAGGCGGCTACGGCGACTGATGAGGCAGTGATCCTACGAAAAAAGCCCATAGATGTTGAACAAACGCATGATCTGTCTGTTTTAGTTGGGATTGGTCGCGAAATCCTTATGCTGCTGAAGTGCATTTTAGCTTTAGTTTTTTTAGTGGTAGTTGGGATTGTCTACATTGTAACGAGACTTTCATAAATTAATACCTTGTGTGGTGGCATGCATGTCGTATAATTAACTAATTATGTTCTAGGTTTTAATATGGTATGTATGTCATGTAATGCAGATGAGCCAGCATTGGATGTACAATGCTGATCGCCGCTCCCAAGAGTTCATTGAGGGCGTGCATTCTTTCTTAAGTGTGGCCGAGGTAAACAAACGCGATGGTTTCATGTGTTGCCCATGTGCCATATGTAAGAATTTGAAGAAATATGCTAGCTAAGAAGTCTTCATTCACACTTGTTGAAGTCGGGTTTCATGACAAACTATATTTGTTGGACGAAGCACGGAGAAACCGGGGTTGTAATGGAAGAAGGCGAAGAACAATGAGACGATGATGACATTATTGCTGAATATGGTGCCTTCAATGATACTGCAATGGGGAAAGCTGAAGAAGAGGTAGGGGCAGAAGATGAGCCCGTTGATGATCTTGGTCAGGCCATTCATGACGCACAAAGAGAATGCGAAAGTAAAAAGGAGAAGATCAAGTTCGAGCGCATGCTATAGGATCACAAGAAATTGCTATACCCAACTTGTGATGCGGGGCAGAAAAAGTTGGGTACCACACTGGAATTGCTGCAATGGAAGGGAAAGAATTGTGTATCTAACAAGGGATTTGGGGAGTTACTGAAAATCCAAAAGAAGATGCTTCCGAAGGATAACGAATTGCCCGCCACTACGTACGAAGCAAAACAGGTAGTCTGCCCTTTGGGATTAGAAATCCAGAAGATACATGCATGTCCTAATGACTGGATCCTCTACCGTGGCGAGGAGTACGAGAAGTTAGATGTATGCCCGGTATGTTATGCATCGCAGTATAAGATCAGGCGAGATGACCCTGGTGATGTTGAGGGCGAACGTCCCACGAAGAAAATCCCTGCCAAGATTATGTGGTATGCTCCTATAATACCACGCTTGAAACGTCTGTTTAGAAACAAAGACCATGCAAAGTTGTTGCGATGGCACAAAGAAGACCATAAGGTAGACAATATGTTCAGACACCCTGCTGATGGGTCTCAGTGGAGAGCAATCGATAGAGAATTCCCGGAGTTTGCAAATGATGCAAAAAACTTAAGGTTTGCTTTAAGTATGGAAGGTATGAATCCTTTCGGGGAGCAGAGTAGTAGTCATAGCACTTGGCCTGTTACTCTATGTATACAACCTTTCTCCCTGGTTATGCATGAAGCGTAAATTTATTATGATGTCAATGCTCATCCAGGGCCCAAGGCAACCTGGCAACGACATCGATGTGTACCTAAGGCCACTAGTTGAAGAACTTCTACTTTTGTGGAACAGACCAGGTGTACATGTGTGGGATGAGCACAAACAGGAGCACTTTGACCTTCGAGCATTGTTGTTCGTAACAATAAATGATTAGCCTGCTCTAAGTAATCTTTCAGGACAATCAAACAAGGGATATAATGCATGCACGCACTGTTTCGATGACATTAAAGGTATATTCTTGAAAAAATGTCGAAAGGTCGTGTACCTTGGCCATCGTCGATTTCTTCCTGCGAATCACCCCCTAAGAAAGAAAGGCAAGCATTTTAAAGGTAAGGCAGACCACCAGACCAAGCCGGGCAACCGAACTGGTGAGGATATACTCAATATGGTCAAGGATGTGAAAGTAGTATTTGGAAAGGCACATGGCAGCGAACCTATTCCGAACGACGCCGACGGTCTCGCACCCATGTGGAAGAAGAAGTCCATATTTTGGGAGCTACCATATTGGCAAGTCCTAGAGGTCCGTAGCGCAATCAACATGATGCACCTGACAAAGAATCTTTGTGTGAACCTGCTAGGCTTCATGGGTGTGTATGGGAAGCCTAAGGACACACTTGAAGCACGACAGGACCTGCGGTGTTTGAAAGAACAAGACAACCTGCATCCAGAGAAGACAGATGATGGATGCCATTACTTAAGTCCTGCCAGCATGTTTGAATGCCTAGCAAGCATCAAGGTACCATCTAGATTCTCCTCGAATATAAATGGTATAATAAATGTGCCAGAGAAAAAATTCCTAAACTTAAAGTCCCATGACTGCCACGTGCTCGTGACGCAATTGCTTCCAGTTCCATTAAGAGGAATTCTACCTCCAAATGTATGTCTAGCCACCGTGAAGCTATGTGCATTCCTCACTGCAATTTCTTAGAAGGCAATCGATCCAGTGGATCTAGCTAAACTACAGAATGATGTGGTTCAATATCTTGTCAGCTTTGAGTTGGTGTTCCCTCCTTCCTTCTTTAATATCATGACACACCTCCTAGTTCACTTGGTCAAGGAGATTAGCATTCTCGGTCCTGTGTTCCTGCACAACATGTTCTCCTTTAAGAGGTTCATGGGAGTCCTAAAGAAATATGTTCACAACCGTGCTCGGCCAGAAGGAAGCATCGCCAAGGGCTATGGAACAGAGGAGGTCATTGAGTTTTGTGTTGACTTTATTCCCGACCTTGACCCGATTGGTGTTCCTGAATCGCGACACGAGGGGAGACTAAGTGCAAAGGGGACACTAGGGAAGAAACCATATATTGGTATGCAGGACAATTATTTTAATAAAGCACACTATACAATTTTGCAAAACTCCTCCTTGGTGGATCCATATATCGAGACACAAAGAGTTGCTCCGATCCGAGTTTCCAGGGAAGTCTGAAGCTTGGATTACATGTCAGCACATGGAAAATTTTAGCAATTGGTTGTGAAAAGAATGTCAGGGTGATGAGAGTATTGATGAGCAACTGTATTTGTTGGCTAGGCAGCCATCGTGGCATATCCTTACATACAAAGGATACGAGATAAATGGAATACATTTTACACAGTAGCCCAAGATAAATGGAGCACCAACCAAAACAGTGGTGTCCGCATAAATGCCACCGACCCTAATGGAAATAAGCAAACATATTATGGCCGCATAGAGGAGATATGAGAACTAAACTATGCACCTACTTTTAAGGTACCTTTGTTCAAGTGCCAATGAGTAAAAGGCGACTGGAGGCGGGGTAGCAGTCGACAACCAGTATGGAATGACAACCGTGGACCTCAACAATATTGGGTACAAAGACAAACCGTTTGTCCTTGCCAAGGATGTGAATCAGGTGTTCTATGTCAAGGACATGTCTACAAAACTGAAGAGAGGGAAAAACAACAACAACCCAATCAATGAGATAAAGCACCACATAGTTCTTTCAGGTAAAAGAAACATCGTCGGAATTGAAGACAAGTTAGACAAATCAGAAGATTATAAAAAGGATGACCAAATTCCACCCTTCACAGTGAACAAAGACCCAAGCATCCAGCTAAATGATGAGGACACTCCATGGTTATGGCGCGATCATAACCAAGGGATATACGTTAAGAAGAAGTTCACTACTGTGCCCGCTTGATATATATATAGTGATGTTTAACAGTGTGTATTAGTGTATTATGTAATAATATGGTGATAAATTAGACCTATTATGTAATAATTGTGACTTCAGATTTTTTTTTGTCGTGTTTTCATATTTTCTACGGTTTAAATGAATTTTCT